GGACCAAACTGCCTCAGGAAATGCCTGATGCCTGCATTAAAAATGCTGGTTCCATGACTCCACCACAGACCTACTGAATCAGAATTTCTGAGAAATTGTGATTAAAAAAATATATATTTATTTGGTTGTGCTGGGTCTTAGTTGCAGCATGCAAGATCTTCAGTCTTCATTATGGCATAAAGGATCTTTGGTTGTGGCATGCGAACTCTTAGTTGAGTTGCAGCATCTGGGATCTAATTTCCTGACCAGGGATCCAACCCAAGCTTTCTGCATTGTGAGTGTGGAGTCTTAGCCATTGGACCACCAGGGAAGTCCCAGTAACATAAACTTTTTATCAAAATTTAGAACTTTCATGCTTCAAAGGGCACTATCAACAAAATTAGAAAATAATTCACAATGGGAGAAAATATTTGCAAATCATATATCTGCTAAGGGATGTGTTATCAGAATATATGAAAAACCCTTATTAATCAATATAAAAAGACAAATAATCCTATTTTTAAGTGGGCAAATGATCTTAGTAGACATTTTTCCAAAAGCAGATATACAAATCATCAGTAAGTACATGAAAAGACACTCAATATTATTAGTCATTGGGGAAATGCATGTAACTCAATGAGATATTCTTGTTGTTGTTCAGTCACTCAGTCGTGTCTGACTTTTTGTGACCCTATGGATTGCAACATGCCAGGCTTCCCTGTCCTTCACCAACTCCTGGAGATTGCTCAAATTCATGTCCATTGAGTCGGTGATGCCATCTAACCATCTCATCCTCTGTCATCCTCTTCTCCTCCTGCCCTCAATCTTTCCCAGCAATAGGGTCTTTTCCCATGAGTCAGCTGTTCGCATCAGGTGGCCAAAGTATTGGAGCTTCAGCTTCAGTATCAGTCCTTCCAATGAATCAGTTCAACCCAAGGGTTGATTTCCTTTAGGACTGACTGGTCTGACCTCCTTGCTGTCCAAGGGACTCTCAAGAGTTTTCTCCAACACCACAGTTTGAAGGCATTAATGAAAAAGGTGCTCAGCCTTTTTATTGTCCACCTCTCACATCCATACATGACTACTGGAAAAACCATAGCTTTGACTCTATGGACCTTTGTAAGCAATTATTAGTCATTGGGGAAGTGCAAGTCAAAATCTCAATGAGATATTCTACATACCCAAAATGGCTGCACCATTTTATATCCTCTTATAAATTGCTAATGAGACTATAAAGTGGTATGATCTTCTTGGAAAATACAGTTTGCCAATTCCTCAGAAAGTTAGAGTTACCATATGAGCAAGCAATTTCACTGCTAGGTATATGCCCAGAACAATTGAAAACCTACATTCACACAAAAACTTGTACATGAATGTCATAACAACTTTATTCATAATAGCCAAAAGTGGAAACAACCTAAATGCTCATCAGCTGATGTAAGATAAACAAAATGTAGTATATCCACACAACGGAATGTTGTTCAGTCATAAAAGAATGAAGTACTGATACATGCTAGAACATGAACTTGGAAAACATTATGCTACATGAAGGAAACCAGTCACAAAAAACTTCATATGACTCCATTTGTATGAAAGGTCCATTGGCAACTTTCAAATATGCAATATGGTATTAATTAAAGCCATCATGCATGATTTAAGGTGACTTACATCATTATGACTTATTTATTTATTTTATATCTGGAAGTTTGTATTGTTTGACTCCTTCACCCATTTTGCTAACACCCTACTCGCTGCCTCTGGCAACCACCTATCTGTTCCATGAGTTTGATTTTTTTTTTTTTTTAGATTTCACATATAAATAAGATCATATGGTATTTATCTTTCCATCTGACTTATTTCACATAGCAAATTCCCTCAAGGTCCATGATATCACAGATGACAAAATCTTGGCTGGATAATATTCCATTGTATATATACACCACATTTTCTCTATCTATTCATCCATTGATGAAACTATGGTTGTTTCCATACCTTGGCTATTGTAAACAGTGCTGCAGTGAATATGGGGGTACATACATCTTTTCAAGTTAGTGTTTTTAATTTTCTTTGGATAAATGTCTAGAGGTAGAATTTCTGCATTATATGGAAGTTTTATTCTTAATTTTTTTGAGGAATCTCCATACTGTTTTCCACAGTGGCACCACTGTTTACTTGAATCCTACCCTCTAACTTGGTGAAATAAATGGAATATGAATTATATCTTAATAAAGATGTTATTAAAAAGCAGAAAAGCACACACACACAGAAGGCTTGTTTCTATGGAACATCTTAAGTGGGTTGGTTCATGCAGTGAGTTTAGACAGGTCATGTTAGAACAGAGTAAAGAGGAGAGTTAATGAGTTCCCACAGCGTTTACAGCATTGTTATTGGCCCAGTTTTACAGGTGAGGAAACTGAGCTATACAGAAATTTAAGGTCATATAGCTAGTACAGGTCAGATATCAGATTCTGTAGGGACCTTAGCAGCCCTATTACTATCTCCTGGGAATGTGTCTCTGTTTTAAGATGAAAGCAAGGTGGAGAACATCTACAGCTAAGGATTTCTCAATGGCATTGCTCTCTCCTCAAGGTTGCCAAATCCTCAGTGCTCCTTGGGCTTCCTTGATAGCTCAGTTGGTAAAGAATCCTCCTGCAATTCAGGAGACCCCAGTTCAATTCCTGGGAAGATCTGCTAGAGAAGGAATAACCTACCCACTCCAGTATTCTTGGGCTTCCTTTGCAGCTCAGCTGGTAAAGAATCTGCCTGCAATGTGGGAGACCTGGGTTCGATCCCTGGGTTGGGACGATCCCCTGGAGGAGGGAGGGAAAGGCTACTCACTCCAGTATTCTGACCTGGAAATTCCATGGACTCTATGGTCCATGGGGCTGCAGAGTCTGACAAGACTTGGCCTCTTGGTTTAGAGCAAAATTTAGGACAAAGCAATCCCTTTGAAGCTATCAGTATGCAGCTTCTTTCCTTCGGGGAAGTGATGAAGTGATGTCTGTCTGGCTATATGAATACTTAGCTGAGGATGAACAGATAGAAGACTTTATGACACAGTACCTGAATATCAGAGCACCCTCTGAAAACTCACAAAGATGTCACTTGTATATAAGCTCCTTGAATGTTCATGAGTACCTAGGACAACACTCATTAGTCAGTATAAATTTACTATAGCAGACTTCTATTTCTCACAAGGCACTTTGTTTTCATGTAAGTATAGGGTTTTGTTTATTGGACATTCGTTTTAATCTGATTGTCAAATGAATACAAGGACTGAAATCTTTGCCTCCATTTTGGACTGTTTCTGTGAGCTACATTCCCATCCTGAGTCAAAGGGTATGAACATTTTTAAGTCTCTTGATCTGCAATCCAAATTGCTTTGCAAAAAGACTGAACCAATTTACACTCCCACCAGCAGTGTATGAAAATATATTTAAATGCAAATTCCAAGCTGCATAGAGCCACTTTCCTAGGTATTTTACTTGAAAATTTTTCTTTAATGCTAAGCAAGAGCTGACCCAGGACGTTAAAAAAAGAAATCTGATTATAAAAATGGAGCAGATAGTTAAAACAGCTCTTAGGCAGAAGTAAGCTTTAGAAAGACCCAAGCCAGGTGATAAAAAAATTTTAAGGCATCCTGGCACAATTCTAGAGGGACCATTAACAATTTGGCTTCAGACTGGGAGAGCAACGGCCAAGAATGTCGGGCGTGGTCAGTGTACCAAATTCTAGTTTAGAAAAAGCAGGGTATTTTATTTATTTACATTTCAATTTGTTCTAAGGACGATTTAGGACTCTTAAAGGCAGGATCTTGAGAAGTAGCAATGTGTCTGAATAATCCTGTGAGGAGGAAACAAACCCACGCCCCCCTGAACTACGGTCCACGCTTATCTCTCGCAGCCCCGGATGCCTTGCCTCTGTAATCTCAGTCCAGTTTGCAACCACAAAGACTGCCTCTGCGTCTACTAATGGGGCACAGAGATTACAGGGGTCAGGGGGATGGGGCGGGCAAGGAGAAGCCCGGACTTGGGATAGCAACCCACTGGACTCTACACAGATCCAAAAGGTGCTGGGACTTGAATCTTCAGCCCGGAGCACCCCTCCGCCGGGTACGTGGGAACCCGCCCGCGAGCCTTCCGTCACTACGCCTCCGTGCACCACCCCCGCCCGCCCCCGACCCGCTTCCACCAGAAGGAGAGGACGCTCGAAGAGGGGTCAGAAACTCGAGTTCGCCCCTTTCCACTTTTCCTATTCACTTTAGCTCCGCCTGTCCTGCTCTCCCTCCCTCCATCGCTTTCTCTGCTCATTCCCGTCTTTCCCTCTCCCTCCTCCACGCCCGCTTTCTCGGCTTCTTCCCGGGGACGGAATCCCCAGCCGCCGCCTATCCTCGGGTACGGGGGCCCCCTCCCGCCCGCCTCGCATCCCCTCCGAGCCTCCCCGCCTCCCGCCCCGCCCCTCCGCCCGCGGCCCCGCCCCTCCGCCCGCGGCCCCGCCCCTCCGCCCGCGGCCCCGCCCGCAGCCAATCAGCGCGCGGCCTCCCGCGGCCCCGCCCCGCGGCCGTTCCAGGAGAGCCCGGCGGAGCCCAGGCCTCGATGCGGAGGGCGGCGCCGCGGGGCGGGGGCCGATGGGGTCTGGCGGACGCGGGGCGCCGGCGCGGGGCTCGCCTGCACGAGGGAGCGCGGGGCTGTGAAGGCGTGAGGTGGGCGCCGCGGCCCGCCCGGGATGGGCCAGCCCCAGCCTGGCGGGGCCGAGCCGGAGGCGAGGGCGGCGCGCGGGCCGGGCCTGCTGGGCGGGCGGCCCGGGGACTGAGGTAGAAGTGGGCGCGGAGGAAGGGGCCGAGCCAAGGCGGTGGGTGGAGCGGAGAGGGGGGCGGAGGCTGGGCCGCGGCGGGCGAGCGGAGCGGAGCGCTGGTCCGGAGCTCGGCGGCGGCGGCGGCGGCAGCGCCTGAGGAACCGGAGGCGGCGGCGGCGGGCCCGGACGAGCGCCTGGAGGTGGCGGACGAGGCGCCGGGGGCCCCCATGGGCGGGTGCGTGGGCGCCCAGCACGACTCCTCGGGCAGCCTCAACGAGAACTCGGAGGGCACCGGAGGTAGGTGAGCGCCAGGGGGCAGCCTCGGCCCCCCATTGTTCCCGGCCGGGCCTGGCCACCTGTCCCGGCCCCTGCGGGCCTCGCGGCCGGGGCCCCCGCGCCCCTTTGTCATCCCCTCTTCCACGTCACTCCGCGCGCTCCGCTTCCGGCCGGCCGCCGGGTCGCCCCCTTTTTTGCCTGACCACCCCCCGCCCTCAGACAAGCACTCCGCGCTCTGGGAAGGTAGCCCACGGCCTCTCGACCCCACCGCCTGGGCTGGGGAAACTCGGACCAGAAACTGCCTCTGGCTCCGTCGCTCTCTCTCCAGCCCGTTTAATTATTCAGGAACAGGATGGCGGCGCTGGGGTTGCAGGAAAGCGAACTGATGGGGGTGGCGGGGGGTGGGGAGGGGAGCCTAATGCATTCCCTCCGACGGGCCCCGCCACATCTCTCCGAACCCGGCCTTGTTCAGCAGAGTTGGCTGGTCTCCGCTTTCCTGAGTTTCAGATGACAGCTGCCCTGGTTGGTTCCAATTTGGCCATTTAAACCTGCAAGTTTCTGGAACTCGGCTGGGGAAGTCTCAAGTGGCCACAGGCATTATTTTAACGAGGGGTGGGGAAATGGTCTGCCGGAGTAAAACGTGGCTTCTTGCTCCAGCCTGGGGATATTGGGCCAGTGCACTGTCGGGGTGTGCTAGTCAAATTCCTATCCATCTTACGTAAAGGAAAATATGTAGGATAAAAGTACAAATGCTGTTACCCCAGTAGGATCCGTACTTTAAAAGTTTCTGTGAAACGGAACGCACTTATACTTTATTGTAAATATGTTTGCTGAGGAGAGGTATTTTAATTCAATCAATGTTGTAGTAAAGGAGAAGAGTAATCCAGTTAATTTCTACTTTTAGTTATATGACCTCTTACTGGGTCCATTCTATAGCTTGTGTAGAGGACAAAATGTTTTAGTTAAAGAAGAAACAGCTTTTAGAAATAGCAAAGATGACAGTGTTGGTTTTGTTCCAGTCTTACGTTAGATGTCACAAAAAATGTGGGGTGTAAGTTCCTAAGCTAAATCGTTTGGGTGGGTGGGTTTACAACTTTTTCTTAACATGCTAGCATTTGGACCAGTTGCTTGCCTGTCATTAAACTCCACGTACACCTAACTTTTTACTTATAAATGTCCTGATTACATGATGTTTAGCCATGCTACTTCGTTAAAATGTACGGGCATCCTGTATGACTAAATCCTGGGCAAATTGAGAGCTCAGCAAAGCATCTTGAAAAAAAATTGTCCATGGAAAGTGGTACTTTGTAGTGCATTTCAAGTCATAGCATAATTACTCAGTGGCACGTTAACAATGAGATTTGCGGTAAAAACCAAGCAGGAAGGTAAAAGGCGCATGATTTAAAATAACCTTGGGTTAAGATCAAATTGAGGGTCAAAATCCTGTGGGTGAGGTGATCATTAATGGTACCAAACTATACAGGTAGTATTAGTTTTTGGTAAGTATAGGTAGTGTGCTTGTTACAGGTAGTTTTTTCATACTCATTTTAACATTCTAATTGAACAGTTTTCTCTTGTTGGTAGTGCCCTTGAACTAATTTATGGTTTTAAGGCCTTTTGGTGGTGTGACTTGTGACCAGCCAGATGTTATTAGCATGGGCTTTTAAAAGCAAGAAGTATTAGCTTTTGGTAGTTTATTATTACCAGTGGTACCTAGTTAGATATAGTGTCAGCTTCTTTGAGAACTGAGTTCTCTGGATTTTAAGCTATGCTTTACCTTTTCAGAGTAAAGTTTAGGAAAAAAGTCATGAAACGTTGGTTTTATTTTTGGAGAGAAGGCAAGACACTGATGTAACTGGGGTGAAGGAGTGAGCTGTGTGGGATAAAAGGATTATTTCTAGAATTTAATTTGTGGAGGCCTTTATTCTTCATTATTGTCATGAAAGTTAAAGCGTTAATTGTGGTTTAAAGGAATTAGCCCAGGTGAGTGTTTCAGGTTAACTTATTAAATAGTTACTAGCTTACTACAGTAGATTTTTGTTTGGAAGGGAAGGACTTTTTCCTAAGGGTGTTGGCACAGATCCTTCACTTTTCAGATATACAGTAGTGGTTTTAATGTGGACATATTGGGCTATGAAAAATTTTTTTTCAGCATGGAGTAAAGCACAGTTTCCCAGTGTTTTTCATGACAGATTTAAGATTTTCATGACAGATTTAATTACATCCACAGTGTTGTGCAAACATCATCATTTTAGGATGGCTTCACTTTCTGAATATCAGCAGACTTGGTAAAATGACTTTAAAAACTTTTTGGGCCATTTGAGGTACTGTACTTTCCCTTTCCCTCTGAATCTTAAGTATGCAAATAAATGTGTATATTGAGAATAACTTCCATTCTAGGTGCAGTACTTTGAAGAAATTTGGGAAATTTTTGTAGGAGTTTTTAGAATATAGAAATGGCTTAATTAATGTCGTAAGAGTTCTGTTATGTATTGTTTTGGAATCAGTTGCTGTATCTTATGGTATACCTTGCCTAGAATTCAATTTTTGAGTTTCAGCTATTTTGACCATTTTTTAAATGCCTAATTTTAATCAAGAAAGTTATATTATAGAATTTAGTGCAAGATTATTTAACAATACTCTGCAAGCTTGCACATTCCTAGAATTTCCAGCTGTTTTGACATTTTCAGACAGCATATTTTGTGTAGTTTTCCACCTTATGATGACATTGTGATGCTGAGGGTGGCACTTAGGTCCTCTAGACAAGACTGTGGCCCATGGCATTTACTAAGTAATTAAATCTTTGATGAGTTTTAAAAATAAGAAATATATGATTAAAAAAACAATAAAATGAAATTCATTGAAGACAGCCAATTCCCTTCTTTTCATATTTTGATCCTTTAGTGAAAGTAGTGACGTATCAATGCAAAGTAGGTTCTCACCTTTGGGTATGTCATTTATTTTGTACCTTCAGTGAAATCCCAAGAGTACTAACCAAGGTGGTCACCAGTTTCTAGGTTTACAGGAGGAGAACTCTGAATACTGAACATTGATTAGTTTGGGTTTTTTTGGCTGCTGCGTGCAGCATATGGGATTTTAGTTCCCCAACTACCGATCGAACCCACCCTTACCCTTGCAGTGGAAGTGCAAATTCTTAACTACTGGACAGCCAGGGAAATCTCAAACACTGACTTCTTTATTTTAGAGTGTCTTGAGAATATCATGGAGTTCTTTCGGATATCCATTTATAGCAGCCTTAACACCTACTTGATGAGAACAATGCTTTTTGAGTAATAATAGCTACCCATTTAATCCAATATTTATTGTGTAACAGGTATTGTGATTATGTTCTCACTTAGTCTTCAACAACTCTGGGAGGTGGATAGTATCTCTTTTATAGATGGACTGATTCTGGGAGAAATTAAATAACTTGCTTAACATGGCAGAGCTTCCAAATCGCAGAGTCAGAGCTTAAACTGGGGCTAAAATAAAGAATGCTGAGTTTTTCCCCTTTTCCTCTAGTTTAATTTTTTTTAATTTTAGTAAAATACATATAAAACTTGTTATTTTAACCACTTTTAAGTGTATACTTCAATGGCATTAATTATATCCACAGCATGCAACCATCATCACTATGTATTTAGAGAGTTTTCATCACTCCAGACAGACTCTGGATCCATTAAGCAATATCTTTGCTCCCCTCTCCTCCTAACCCCTAGTAACCTCTGATCTATGATTTGTCTCTGAATTTGCCTGTTCTCAATATCTCATATAAGTAGAATCATACAATATTTATTGTTTTGTTGGTAGTATATTTTACTTAACATGTCTTACAGGTTTATCCTGTTGTACCAAGTATCAGTAATCCTTTTTATAGCTGAATAATATTCTGTTGTGTATACATGCCATATTTTGATTATCCCTTCATCAGTTGAGAGACATTAGGATTGTCTCCACTTTTTGGCTATTGTGAATAATGCAGCTATGAACTTTAGTGTACAGAGAGTAAATCCCTGTTTTCAATGCTTTGGGATATATACCTAGGAGAACCTAGGAATTGAGAGATCATGTTAATTCTATGTTTACTTCTTAGAGGTAAATTTTCCCACAGTGGTTGCACCATTTTACATTTCTTTTAGCAGCATACAAGGGTTCTAGTTTCTTCACATTTTCACCAATGCTTGTTATTTCCCATTTTAAAAATTATAGCTTTTATAGTGGGTGTAAAGCGAGGGACATCTTATGGTTTTGGCTTGAATTTTGTAATAGTGATGTTAATGTGCTCATTTGGCATTTGAATATCTTCTTTTAATAGAAATATCTATTTAAGTCCTTTGCCTTTTTATTTTTAATTGAGTTTGGGCTTTATTGTTGTTATTGAGTTGTAGGAGTATATTAACCCTTATTCTGTATATTAAACCCTTATCAAGATACATGCCTTCCAAAGAGCTGCACGGAGAGATAAGAAAACCTTCCAAAGTGATCAATGCAAAGAAATAGAGGAAAACAATAGATGGGAAAGACTAGAGAGCTCTTCAAGAAAATTAGAGAAATCATGCAAATTAGAAATCAGAAAATTAGAGAAATTCGTGCAAAGATGGACACAATAAAGGACATACGGTATAGAAACAGCAGATGTTTAAAAGAGGTGGCAAGAATACACGGTAGAACTATACCAAAAGATCTTAATGACCTAGATAACCACGATGTGTGATCACTCACCTAGAGCCAGACATCCTGGAATGCGAAGTCAAGTGGGCCTTAGGAAGCATCACTATGAACAAAGCTAGTAGAGGCGGTAGAATTCCAGCTGAACCATTTCAAATCCTAAAAGATGATGCTGTGAAAGTGCTGCACTCAATATACCAGCAGATTTGGGTAACTCAGCAGTGGCCACAGGACTGGAAGAGGTGAGTTTTCATTCCAATCCCAAAGAAGGGCAATGCCAAAGAATGTGCAAACTACTGCACAATTGCACGATTTCACGTGCTAGCAAAGTAATGCTCAAAATTCTCCAAGCT